ATTATAATTTCCCTCCAGGACACATGCAAATATGAAGTATTATCATTCAAAATGTTGGCGATATATTTGGGGAAGTGAACACTCTTATCAATGGGGGGTGATTTTTGCAGGGTAATTTGGGACTGTCTATTACAACTAAAAATATGTGTACTTTATGATGAAGCAGTTTATCATTTAGATATTTCAACTGTGCCTGAGAAGGAAGATGAAGAGGGGGGAAGAGTTGAGAGATCCAGTCCTTCTGACAAGGGCAGTGGTGTAGATGAAGGAAGAGGAAGGGCTGGGACCAGGCTCTTCATTTCCCCCACTGAACATAGCTTAAAACCTTTCACTCTTTGTGCAAAGTTCATGAAATATCTAAGAAATAAGACCAACCAGCCCTGTAAAATCTTACTCTTGTTCATGTACCCTTCATTGCACCCAACACAATGGAATATTTCTAAAAAGTATTTTAAGTTTGGGAAAGAATATATGTATCTTCAGTTTATTTATTTTTTATATGTCAAGTCTATTTCTTTTTTTTTTTTTTTCTCTGATCAAGTCTCGTTTATTCTGGGGAGATCCACACAATATATAGGGCAAAAAGCAGAAAAACAAGAACATTTGTTGCCAAGCGATAAGTTTGTAGTAACCACCCGAAGCAATTTCAAGTAAATATCCCTGGTGGAACAAAAGATAAACAGAGCATAACTGGCTGAGTAAATGGTTACTTAAAGGAATGCAGAAACATTGTATACAGAGGTATCCTGCCTTGGGGCAGGAGATGGCAGAGCAGATTTTAACAAAATGGATGCCATGCAAATAGTCTCCCACAGCCCCCCCTTTTCTTTAATTTTAAGGCCAAAACAATACCTTGAGGGGACTGTGCCTATCTTAGGTCAGGAAACTTGCACACGGTGCCAACCTGTCCGAACCCGTCATTGGAATAGCAAGGCAGCATAAGGCCTTGTTCCTGTCTTAGGTGGTGGTTGGCGATGCGTGTGAGTTCCAGTTGCCCGTCTCTGGCTATCCAGTCCAGCGCACCAAGGTGACAAGGTTTTTGAGACTCACTATTTGCCATCTCGGGCATAGTCATAGCTTATTGACTCACAGCTAGAGTGAGCTTCTCTGTCGGCCATTTCAAGTCTATGATAGTGGACCTGTATAGGTTGCATCTTAATGGCATCTATCTGCTGCTTGATGGAAGCCATCACCTTATTGAAGAGGAAAGGTCCTAGTGACACAATCAGTAAAAGGCCAAGTAAGGGGCCCAACAGAGGGAGAAGATAAGGCAGCACCCCATTTAGCCTGCTCCAAAAGGGGTTATCGAAAAGCTCTTTTAAGCAGCAGCGTTCCTGCAAAGCAGTCCCATGGGGGGCCAAATAAGGCCCTCAGGAGCTCCTCGGGGTTTGGAGGAGGCCCCAAACCTCCTTCCACAAGCAGGCAAAGGTGCAGTAGTATCCCTGCAGTAAGATTTCAGCCTTCCGGTCCATTCCTGAAATAAAGAAAAAACAGGAAAAGGCTCTCAGGGCGAATTTTCGTCCCTGGAGTTATCTATGTGGTTATCTGTTATTCCTTTAACTTGATCAATCTGTTTAACCAGACTCTCTGGTAGCCATCTGGCAGATTTCATTTTCTTAGAGTAAATGCATACAGAACCTCGGCCCCAGATGAGGACTGGGTCTGGTCAAGTCTATTTCTTGTAACTTCAGAAAAGTTACACTGGATTTGGGAAGAGCAGAGGTAGAAACCCACAGGAAGGGCACTAGAGATCCTTCTGGCTTAATCTTGCTGGTTTGGAAAACTGCATCAAACATCCCCTCCCCAGCCCACTAACCTGCTCAATCCTTAGAACAGCAAGACCATGATAAGGGCATCCAGCTTATCTTTGACCTTCACTTATCCACCTATGACCTCAGAGTGACCTGCCCAACTGGAGGCAGGAGAATTCTTGATGTATCTCTTGCCTTGACTTATTTTACCTTCTTTAGAGTCTTTACACAGCTGGAAGACTTGTGAAACATGGACTCAGATAGCCTGGGTTTGAATCCCAGCTCCTGAATTTCCTAACTGGGTGAACTTGGACATGTTACTTAATCTCCCTGTGCTTCAGTTCTCTGTTTGTAAATAAGACAATAATAGTATGTATTCATAGTGTTGTTGAGGGTATATGATGTGATAGCAGAAAACCCTGGTGGCTTAACAAATAAATGCTCATTTATTGCCCACATAAATTCCAATATTGGTTATCCCTGATATTGTAATAATTTTATACTGTAGTAAAATTATAATGTTGAAACATTTTTAAATCAATTTTATTGGGATGACATTAGTTAGTAAAATTATATTGGTGTAGACTGTATGTGAGTTTATTCCGCACATGGATGGACTCATGCAAGGGTTAACAAGGATATTCTGCACACAGATGCCTTGAAGTGCTGCTCAATCCTTAAGAACAATTCAGAGCGAAGTCCTGCACACAGGCACGCTCCTCCTTGCCTGCAAACAGGAAGGATGAGATATTCTTTTTTTTTTTTTTTTTTAAATGAATTTTTATTTATTTTTTTGTTACAGATATTTTACCTTTTTACCCCATTGGCACCCCCCACCCCACCCCCTCTTCACCCTGTCCCCGGCTTAGTTGTCCATGTCCATTGGTCATGCATACATGCATATAAGTTCTGTGGTTTATCTCTTCCCACCCCCCCACCCCCCATCCCCTCTTCTGAGGGATGTCAGTCTGTGCCCTACTTCCATGTGTCTGGGTCTACTGTATTCCTCAGACTGTTATGTTCATTATATTCCGTATATAAGTGAGATCATGTGGTATTTGTCTTTTTCTGCTTGGCTTCTTTCACTTAGGATAATACTTTCCAGGTCCCTCCATGTCGTCTCAAAGGATAAGAGATCTTTCTTTCTTACCGCTGCATAGTACTCCATGGTGTATATGTACCACAGCTTTTTTATCCATTCGTCTACTGGTGGACACTTGGGCTGTTTCCAGATCTTAGCTATTGTAAATAGTGCTGCTATGAACATGGGGGTACATATATTCTTCCTGATTGGTGTTTCAGGCTTCTTAGGGTATATTCCCAGGAGTGGGATCACTAGGTCAAATGGAAGTTCAATTTTTAATTTTTTGAGGTAGCACCATATTGTTTTCCATAGCGGCTGCACCAGTCTGCATTCCCACCAGCAGTGTACTAGAGTCCCCTTTTCTCCACACCCTCGCCAACACTTGTTGTTTGATGATTTGTTGATGGCGGCCATTCTGACAGGTGTGAGGTGATATCTCATTGTTGTTTTAATTTGCATCAGGATGAGATATTCTTAAGAGCAGCACTGACCTTTGAGCAGGGGAAATAGTTAGATTAGTTATCTTGATAGGAACTGGGACCACGGCAACCTCTTTGGCTATAAAAATAAACAGCTGCAGGACTTCGGGGCTGCTCCAGTCTTGTCTTTCTTTGTGTGTGTTTGTGTCTTTTGTTCATTTCGCAGACCCTCACCGCAACCTATTGGTTTCAAGTGTATAATTCTACAATACATCATCTATATATTATATTGTATGTTCATCACCCAAAGTCAAGTCTCCTTCCAAAACCATTTATTCTGCATTTACTCTCTTCTACTTGCCCCCATCCTCTTTTCCCTTTGATAATCACCATACTCTTGTCTGTCTATGAGGGTGTTTTGTTTTGTTTTTGGCTTAATTTCTTCGCCCTGTTCAACAAGCCCCGAAACCTCCTTCCCCTTTGACAGCTGTATCTATGAGTCTGCTTCTATTTTGTTTGTTTATTTTGTTCATTAGAGTCCACATATATGTGAAATCGCGTGGTATTTGTCTTCAGTTATGATATTATACTGTAGGATAGTATACTATAGGTAGAATTCCTAATGCCTATATTATCTGGTACCAGCCAATTTTGAAAATAAGTCTTGAACTTGGCTTGATGGCATAGTTCAAATGCTTAAAAGCCCCCACTCATCAACCCCTTTGTTTGACACACACAATACCCCACTCACAGTTGGCATCTGCCTTTCAAAATGCTTAAAATGACATGCCATCTCAACCTGTGCATGCACTGAAATGGCTTTAATTCTTAATACAAAGATAAATTAGATAGACATCTCTGCAAAGATACAGAACAGGAATATATAACTCCCCTGGAAATCCTTAATTGAGTACTCTTAATTCTTGTTCCCATTGATGAAGGCAATAGAAATTTAACAATGGCAGTACCCAATCTTACATCACCCTGATGTTCATTCAAGAGCGAGCTTCACCATCTTACATCTCTGCTTTACAATAATTGAGACAGTAAAAGTAGCACATGCTTGCCCTGGCCAGGGTGGCTCAGTTGGTTGGGAATCATCCCTTGTAGCAAAGGTTTCTGGTTCAATTTCTGGTCAGGGCACATGACCAGACTGTGGGCTTGATCCCTGATAGGAAGTGGTGTTCAAGAAGCAGCTGATTGAAGTCTCTCTCTCTCTTTCTAAAAATCAATTAAAAATCTTTTAAAAAAGTAACACATGCTTGGGCTGTCCAACCAGTGTCATCTTGGGTGACAGTTTCCATTTCTGTAAAACCTAAACATGACACTACTAAGAACCAACATAGGCAGGGACAGTCCGAGCATCACTGTTGGAACATCAACCCCCGAATCCCCTTTCTTGCTTGGATTTTAAGGGTTGAATCTTAGACCTTTCACTCACTGTACAGAAACGTATAAGAATGGGTGTAAGGCAGGACACGAATAGGTGGTCAAAATATCCATGATCTGGGGTCCATCTCTGATGTTGGGCTGTCATTCTTACAGTAAAGTTTCTTTCTGTTTAAGACTAAATAACCCAACCTCTCCCCTTGTCTTAAGTGATTGAGATCACTATATTTGTTTCATACAAATCCACAAAAGAAAAATTGCGTCTGAGAGGAGCAAGGGAGTTGGTCACAGTACACCTTGCACCGCATGGACTACAAATGAAAGTTCTTAGATGTAACGGAGGGTCCCTGGGACAATTCAGCACCTCCCATGAGGTCTTCTCTTTGATCTGAAACCAGTTCTGCCAAGGACCTTGACCAAAGCCACTCGAACTTCTTGGTTTCTCAGGCTATAGATGAGGGGGTTGAATGTGGGGGTGACAAGACTGTAGAAGAGAGAGACCATGTTGTCCTGCTGTGGGCTGTGGTATGCTCCTGGCACCATGTACATAAACACAGCTGCCCCATAAAAAAGCCCCACCACAGTGATGTGGGAGGAGCAGGTGGTGAAGGCCTTGTGTCGGGCCTCAGCTGAGTGCATGCGGAGAACAGCCCCCAACACGTGGCTATAAGAGGTAGCTATGAGGGACAAGGGCAGCAGCAAGATCAGCACCCCTGAGATGGACAACGCCAACTCATACATAGAGGTATCCGCACAAGAGAGCTTCAGCAGAGCGGGCAGCTCACAGAAGAAGTGGTCCACAGCGCGTGAGGCACAGTAAGGGAAATGCAGAGTGATGGAGGTCTGAATGGAGGCCACAAGCACACCTGACAACCATGAGGTGCCCACCATGAGCAAGCAAACCTGACGTCTCATGAGCATAGGATAACGCAGGGGGTGGCACACAGCAACATAGCGGTCATAAGACATAAGGGATAGCAGGACACCCTCAGAGACACCCAACAACATCAGGAAGAACATCTGAGCTGCACAACCCCCAAAGGAGATGGAACTCTCTTCCTTAGGGAAATCAGCTGCCATCTTGGGGATGGTGACCAGTGGAAAACCAACATCCAACAGGGAGAGTTGGCTGAGCAGAAAGTACATGGGTGTGTGCAGCCTGGAGTTTGTGTGGATCAGAAATAGCAAGATGGCATTGCCCAGAAGGCCCATGGTGAATATAATGGCCACAAGGGAGAATAGAGCTAGATGTGGCCCCGAGTGGCTGAAGAGCCTCATGAGAGTGAAGTCTGAAGTCACTGATTGATTTGATTTCCCCATCCTCTGGGAAGCATCATTCATCTGCAGAAATAACTGGATATTTGGCAAGAAATCTCAGTGGGGAGTAGTTTCACCTTAGATGCCAACTGCAATTGGTAGTGGCTGTCGGAGTCTCTTGAGAAGGATGATGAGTACATTCAGTATCAGTAGGAAAAAAAATACCATGATTGATTAATCATGTCTGGTCTAGTCAGGAGATAGAGAACAGCAAAATGATTCCCTGCTATTGCCATTTGTTTGTAAAAGTCTTGCCTTCGCCTTCCAGGCAAGCACTACTCACCAATACTTGCAGTTAAACTGTCTGTTCCAAATCTAGAGAGTGCAAATCAGCTCTGGTGGAACATTAGAATACACCCCATTCCAGATTTGGGGACAAAGCAGAGGTAGGATTCTGAATAGACTAGAATATGAAGCAGGGAGATCTTGTCAAAATAATAGGGGGTGATGAGGATGGATAAAAAATTAAGTCCAAACCATGAGAAAATTCTTGTTTCCAAATTAATTGGGAGGGCCAATGTCTGGAAAGAGCAATAGGTGGGATGACATTAAGAATTTGGTCTGTAACAAAAATAAATAAATAAATTTAAATAATAAAAAGAAGAATTTGGACCCAAGGCATCTACACTGTAAAGAAACATATGAGTGACAGAGGTTGGAACCGAATGGTCTAGAGTGTTGGGTGACAAGTTGTCCAGAATATCAGACATAATTTGAGGCTTAATTTCATAGAGTAGGAGTGGAGAACATTATGCTCTGTGTATTAAGTACTCAACAAAAACCTGCTGCATGAATGCAGTGGAAAGGGAAGATGAGGGATCAGAAGGGACTGCCCCTGCCTAACTAAGAATACTTATCTTGACCTTCTTACCTTCAACATCACCTTGCAGGAAAATTTAGATCACCCTGGAATATTCACATCACCTCCAACACGGAGAACTTCTGGGCCAAAGTGGCATCTGTTGCCATCATCAATGGGGAAGAACAGAGATGTGTATAGAGAAGCATAGAGAAGCCAGCATTTTAAGACCAAGAAGATACAACCTTGCATAGATCCTTGCAGAAGTCCAGCTTACCAGATGTCCAAAGGAGGTGGGCTGCTTAGAGACCAAGAAGGGTCAGTGTTGAGTGGTTTCTGCTCAAGACCCTCTGATGTCCAAATCATTTATTATACTTACCTTAGATATCATTAATCTTTTCTGATTTGATTCCTTCTAATCATGAAACTTGGTCAAGGGATATTCCCTTGCCTAACTTCTCTCCATCTCTATATCTCTCTGTTTTGCCCATGCCGACGCCAAACTAAAGTTGGCATTTAAGGCTTTCTTAAATTACTTCCTATTCTAATTTTCTATCACACAAACTATTATCCATCCTCATTCGGTCATTCGTTCATTCAATAAAAGTTAATCCAGCTCCCCCTAAGTGTCAATCACTGAAGGAGTCATAAACTACACAGTGGTGAAAAAAAATGGACGAAGTTCCTCCTCTCGTGAGAGACATAAGAAACAAAGAAACAAGTAAGCCATATGCTTTTTAATAAAAATAAATGTAAAAATATAAACAGAGTGATCTTTTAGAAACTTACTAGGGAAAACATCTGAGGGCAGCTACGCTGAACAGGAGAGAGCTGCCTTCAAAATCTAACCATTATAAGAAGGAGAGGGAAGACCCAACTATCTGATTCTACCAGTTGGTGGAAACCAGACAGGTCAATTATGGTTCTGACTAACAAGAAATGCCCCAAAATTGAATGGAGAGCTTCATGAGATAGTGTCTGTCTTATTCAATCCATGATGTATGAACTAGAGTTACAAACACCTCTTAGCACCACCCTCAAAAAATTTAGAGTTTGACAGGAGGTGCAAGCAAGTAAGGAAATCTCTTCATGACAGTATGAAAAAGAGTGCAACAAAGACATATATGTTGTGCTGGGGGTTCCCAGAGGTCTCATGCCCAACTCTGCCTGGAGGGTGTCAGAAAATGCTTTGCAGAGGGGGACCTTTGTGCTGATTTTTGAAAGTCAGATAGGGTTATTTTCTAGGGAGACAGAAAAGAAAGTCATTTTAAGGAGAAGGAATGTGGTGTGCACAGATTGTATGGTATATAATTAAGAGAATACACTCTGGGCTTAGAGCAAGATTTAAATGCCAACTCAGCTTCATTGTAGCTTTGTGATTTTATGAACTTGGGCAAGTTATAAACCTTTCTGGAACTCAGTTTCCCCATTTGTCTATGGGGATAAATGAGACCTTCTTTGTAGGAGCAGCTGTGAACATTAAATGAGACAGTGAATTAAAGAGTGTAGCACAATGACAACTATGGTGATTTCTTGATTTATGTTCACAACTATCATTTATATTGTAGAAGAAATGTAAACAGTAGAAAGGATCAGCTGAGCGATTTCTGAAATCCCTTCATATGGTGGTAGGACAATGTATGCCTGGTGCTTAGCTCAGTGTCTGGTATATAATAAGACTGTTCAATGCACATTACATTTTTTGTGTTGATATTATTCAACATTATAACTCTTGTCCAGCTGCATGGCAAAAGTCGATCAATTCAAGTTTGTTCTCAGTAATGTTTTTCTGAAATTTCAAGCCCTCCATTATTAGTTTAATTCAGTGAGTCTCAACTACAGGTGGTTTTGTCCTCTCCCTTGCCCAGGAGACATTTTGGGTTGTCACAGTAGGAGGTGTTACTAGCATCTATTGGGTAGAGGCCAGGGATTCTGCTAAACACCCTGCAATGCACAAGATGGCCCCCACCATAAAGAATTATCTAGTCTCAAATTTCAATAGTGCCAAGGTTGAGAAATCTTTTAACTGAAATCCAACACCTTTCTCTGATCCTACCTGGAGCCTCTGGGAAGTTTCTTGAGTCCATTGACATGGTCGTTCAGCTTCATGTACCATATGTGCCTAGAGATTAATCTGTGAAGTTGAATTTCCAGATACATTTAAAAGGAAATATAAATAAAACTAATCCCAACCTAAATTGCTGGACAATTGCATTGTCTCTATGTCTCTGTAAAGAGAAGGGTTTGTTCTTTAATCATATTCTTTGGGGCCAGTTCATGCCAAACAGTCCCAATGGACCTTGTCAAAGGATTTTCAAGTGGGCAATGTACTTGGCTCTTTTTACTCATATCTCCACCCCACCCCCAATTAAAAGGAAGAAAAGGGAGCTGATTTCTATTAAGCATTTACTATACATACCGAGCAACACTTTAAGATCAGAGAATGGCTGATGGGTTTCAGTGTATGAATTTCTCAATCTTGGCACTATTGACATTTTAGGTGGGATAATTTAAAGTATTTTACAGGCATTTTTTCCGCTTGATTTTTACCAGTAGGTGTTATGATCTGTATTGTACAGGAGATGAAACAGATTCAAAGAAGTGTAGTAACTGACTATATTGGATTAAGTGAATAGTGTTGTCCCCAATTTCACATCCACTAATACTGTGACTGTGACCTTATTTGGAAAGGAGTTCTTTGCAGATGTAATTAGTTAAGGATCTTGAAATAAAATTATCCTGGATTTAGTGTGTACCCTAAATCCAACGACTAGTGTTCTTATGAGAAGAGGAGAGGACACACATAAAAATAGAGAAGATGGCCATGTGAAGACAGAGGTAGAGATTGAAGTCACCCAGCTGCAAGCCAGGGGACACCAAGGATGGCCAGAGCCATCAGACTCTAGGAGAGGCATTGGACAGATTCCCCCTCAGTGCCTCCAGAAGGAATTGATTTTGTTAACACATTGATTTTGGACTTCTGGCTTCCAGAACAGTGAGAATAAATTTCTATTTTTAGTCCCCCCCCAAAGTTTGTGTTGCTTTGTTACAGTAGTAAGAAACTCATACATTAACCCAAGATCACCCAGCAAACAAGTGGTAGGATCATTTTTTTTTTTTAATCCTCACCTGAGGTTATTTTTCCATTTATGTTCAGTTAGAGTGGGAGGAAGGGAGGGAAGGATGGAAGGAGAGAGAGAGAGAGAGAGACGAGAGACAGACACATCAATTGGTTGCCTCCTGAATAACTCCAACCAGGGCCAGGGCCAGGGCCAGGGCCAAAACGAAACCGAGGTACATGCCTTTGGCTGAAATTGAACCCACAACTCTTTGGTCTGTGGGCCAATGCTCTAACTGCTGAGCCAAACTGGCCAGGGCTGGTAGGATTAATTTTTAAACAAAAGCTGGAATAATTTCCAAGTTCCTGCATTTCCCTTTATATATTACTTCCCAACAAAAATAATGGATTATTCAAGTAAACCTTTGGCTTTCCTGCTCCAATCCTGTTATATTTACTTTTTGACTTGATGATTGTCTTACTGCCTGGCCTGGAGCCAAAGCCACCTCACCAGTTCTAGGTCCAGGTTTCTCTTGGATGTCCTTGCCCTGGAACTCCACCTGGTCACTCACACAGCTCTGGCTTGGTGGTCATCTCAACTGATTGGTCAATGGCCACTCAGTCTCTGCTTTGAGGAATACCATGTAGGTCAACTCTGGTTTACCTCTAAGAATTGTTGATTGGTTTGAATGATAATATGAATTTACTACCACTGACTCTGCTACTTCAGATTCTCTACCTCTGAAGACTATATGACATCTCACCAATGTCTTATCCATAAAAGGTCGCCTTCCTCCCCCCATGCACTCAACACTGTGTTTCCCTGACCTCACCATCCTGTCTAGAATTACCAGATGGTCCCTTTGGTAATGATGAATCTTTAGAGCACCACATTCCCTACTCTGGCTTTTGGGATCCCTGTAAGCAGCTTCTCCAATAGGATTGTGACTCCCTTGTCATGGTTTGCCTTGGGTTTTGCACACATTCTTCCTTTAGGATGTTTTTAGGGAAAAGACAGTTCCCTCCACTAAACTCACCTTCCTCAGTCAAGTAGTCTTGGCTTAGAGTTTATGTCCTTGTCCCAAATCAGCTCCTTCACACCTAGGTTGAAGAAACCCTCTAGCTAATTTTTTTTAGTTAACTTTT